GAGAAATCAAGTCACTGTAAAACAAATCCAAAAAAATGAAAAATTAGAAAACAATGTGAAATATCTCATTGGAAAAACAACTGACCTGGAAAATATGTCCAGGAGAGAGAATTTAAAAATTATTGGGCTATCTGAAAGCCGTGATCAAAAAAAGAGCCTAGACATCATCTTTCAAGAAATTATCCAGGAAAACTGCCCTGATATTTTAGAACCAGAGGGCAAAATAGAAATTGGAAGAATCCACTGATCTCCTCCTGAAAGAGATCCCCAAAGGAAAGCTCCTATGAATATTGTAGCCAAATTCCAGAGTTCCCAGATCAAGGAGAAAATATTGCAAGCAGCCAGAAAGAAACAATTCAAGTATTGTGGAAACACAATCAGGATAACACAAGATTTAGCTTCTACATTAAGGGACTAGAGGGCATGGAATATAATATTCCAGAGGGCAAAGGAGATAGGATTACAACCAAGAATCACCTACCAGCAAAACTTAGTATAATCCTTCAGGGGAAAAAATGCTCATTCAGTGAAATAGAGGACTTGAACACATCAGATCAAGTCAGCAAACTTGTATCAGGTGCTTACTTTGTATGAATAGGGAATGATGCTAAATACAAAGATTACAAAGAAAGGTAAAAAACAAACAAAAACAGTCCTTGACCTCAAGGAGCTCATAGTTTGATGGGAGAGACAACGTGCAAACAACTGTGTACAAACTATATAGACTATGTAAATGGAAATTAGTCAACAGAGGGAAGGCACTAATATTAAAAGGGAATAGGGGAAAGCTTCTTTCTTAAGGTAAAGGGACTAGAGCAAGTGGCATCCTCGGCAGTTCCACTATACAGGGCACCGTTCCCTCTATTCTCAGGATATTTTCAGTCATGGTATTTCCTCCAGGCCCAGGTGCTGAGGTCAAGGAGGGATATGTCTTGAAGTACTTTGTTTTGATGAAAAAAAAAAATTATGGCAACCTGTCATCATTCTCCTCATAGGGATATCAAAATTAACAAAATATAGCAAGAAACTTAAGAGGTTTGTTTTTTTTTAAATACAAAATAAGATCAAAGTAGAAATAGATTATTTCACAAAGCTGTAGATCTAATCAGACTGGGTTTTTTTTTTTAAAATTAAACATTACTATCAGTACTTTTAGTAAATGTAGATGGTAGTTTAGATCAACATCCCCATATGAGGTCTCGACCCACAGTTTAAGAAGTGCTGAAGGGGTTATAGGTGGAAAAAGTTTAAGAAGCCCTGGTCTAGATGCTGAGGAAAGAAGTCAAACTATTGAAAGACATCATTCTTTGTTTCATATACTTTTTAACTGACCCTACTGTGTCAGTGTTTGAAAAAGTTGTGGTAAACTGCACTTGAGACTCTGGATTTCTGGGTTTGGGGTTTACTTTGTACCCCAGTAATCCAAGTTTATCTCATTCTTGTTCTTTGTTGTTCCTATTCAGCTTACACCCTATCCCTCTTCTCAGGTCTATAGGTGACTCATTCTGCCAACAGGTGGCATAGCTCCCTGTTAAGAGAGATTATTCCAATATGAAAACAAGGTATTAAAAGCAGATTAACCTAATTCACGGTTTCTTTTTGTTATCCTTAGAATTGAATGAGTGTTTAAAAAGGTAAAGTTTTCAAAAGCAGAGTTTTCAAAGGTTTGAAATGTGATCAGTTTGTCTGAAATTTTCTTGGGAACATAATCAAAGATTTCTCAATTTTCAGTTATCTCTAGAACCTATCCTTTGGTAATAGAGATGACATGTCTTACATAGGACTTAAAAAGCTTCGTTCTTTTTGGTTATTTCAAAATGTGGGCAGCTTCAGAAGTCCATTATGTGTTTCTTTGCCCACATCCCTCAAGCACCTTAATTGTGGGTAATGTGAATTACTAAATAGGAGCTAAAGAGAAAATTTGTACTTACTGACTCAAGAAGAAATGATATAAACAGCACTTTTGTAGTAGCAGAAGAATGGAAATAAAGTAGATGCCTGTCTAGTGAAAAATAGCTGAACACGTTGTATATTGGGAGAAGTATAGGAAGGCTTTCATTAACTGATGCAGGTGAAATAAGCAAAACTAGGAGAACCAGGGACTGTTAACATACATGAAAATAACTGATGAATTATAAGTCAATAAGACAACAAGCATTTATGTACTTTGTGCAAAGCACTGTCGTGGAGAAGGCAAAAACAGCCTTGCCTTCAAGGAACTGACATTCTACTGAGAAAAATTATATGCAAATAACTATGTACATAAAGGATATACACAGTATATAAATGGAAATTAATCTTAGAGAAGGGAAACTGAGAGGAAAGAGAGACCAGGAAAGGCCTTCTGTAGAAGAGAGAGTTTGAGCTGAGTCATGCAGGAAGCTAGGAGACAGAGGTGAAGAGGACTAGGAATGTGGAATAATAAAAGTTGGAATTGAGTGTCACGTGTGAGAAGCAGCAAGTAGGCCAGGTTAGTTAATCATAGAGTGCCAGAAGAGAAGTAAAATATAAAAAGACGAGTAAGGGAAGATGGAGCCAGGTTACAAAGGACTTTAAATGCCCAATAAGGAGTTTATATTTGATCCTGGAAGTAATAGGGAGCCACTGGGGTTTATTTAGTAGGGGGTGACATGTAATGATTGGCAGAACAAGTAAATACCCTCTTCGATGTGCAGTGAGGTGGTGGCTTGTGTCTAATACCTTTTTCCTCACCACTCAACCAAACAACACACATACACACCTACACACACACACACACAATACTAACATGGAAAAAAAAAGTATTAAGCTGTCGGTCAGATTTTATCTAATATAATTTCCCTGAATATGACTTTTATGAACTCTTCCTAGTTTGTTTGAAGAGTCTAGGACTTGAGAGGGGAAGGAGAGGGGCATACCTAACTGTGAGTAAAAAATTTTTTTTCTCTTTTATTAATTTATTTTGATTTATCAATAATCACTTCCATATGCTTTTCAGTTTAAAATTTTTCTCCCCTTCTTCCCCACCACCCTCCCTAATACGGCGCACAATTTGATATAGGTTATACATTTACATTCATATTAAACATATCTTCACATAAGTGATGTTGTAAGTAAAAATCAAAACCAATAGGAGGAACCATCAGAAAGGAAACAAAACTCAACAGAAGAGAAAAAAAAATAGCAATTTGACTTCCATAGTTCTTTCTTTGCATGTGGATAGCATTTTCCATCACAAGGCCTCTTGAGATGTCTTAGATCCTTGTATTGCCAGGAAGGGTTAAGTTTATCAATATTAGTCATCACACAACGTGGTTGTTATTGTGTACAATGTTTTCTTGGTTCTGCCCACTTCACTCAGCATCAGACCACACAAGTCTTTCTAGGTTTTTCTGAAGTCATCCTGTTCATCATTTCTTATAGCGTAATAGTATTCCATCACATTCATGTACCACAACTTGCTCAGCCATTCCCCAATTGATGGGCATCCTCTCAATTTCCAATTCTTTGCCACCACGAAAAGAGCTGCTATGAATATTTTTGTACATGTGGGTCCTTTTCCCATTTGTGTGATCTCTTTGGGATATAGCCCTAGAAGTGCTATTACTGGGTCAAAGGGTATGCACATTTTTACAGCCCTTTGGGCATAGTTCCAAATTGCTCTCCAAAATGGTTGGATCATTTCACAACTCCACCAGCAATGCATCAGTGTTCCAATTTACCCACATCTTCTCCAACATTTATCATTTTCCTGTTTTGTCATGTTGGCCATTCTGGTAGTTGTGATGTGGTACCTCAGAGTTATTTTGATTTGCATTTCTCTAATCAATAGTGATTTAGAGCATTTTTTCATATGATTATAGATGGCTTTAATTTCTTCATCTGAGAACTGTCTGTTCATATCCTTTGACCATTTATCAATAAGGTGTTTTTTTTTAATGAAAATATTTGGCTTATTAGTACAAAACCAATTTTAAAAGCTCTCCTCCAGTAAAATCTTCCTCATGCATGTGTTGACTACACAAGCGCAGAGATAACTTTATTCAGTGGAATCCTCTGATTATCGATATCAAAGAAAGCATAAAACAAGGACATGGATTCTTTTTAAAAAGATATTTGCCTCTTTTGTATGCAATGTCCTACACAAATTCCAAATGGAAGAGGAATTCCTTATACCTCAATTTCTCAATATGTTTCGGTTTGTAAGTGACACTTTGCTGATTGCATCAAATTCCTAAACACTACAGGTTCTCCTCAGTGAAGATCCATACTACTCAGAAGAGATTGAGTCAATTGACATTGAAGAAAACATGAGTGAACGAAGAACATATATTGCCCAGATTGTTACAAATGCATCACTATGTATTAGAAAAATATTCCTTGGAAATAAAGCTTCTTTAATCTTTTTATGTGCTAACCTAAAAAAAAAAATCATTCTTTTTTTGCCCACACTAGACTGATGGCATTTGTCTTTCATGGTATTTTCATTTCGTACACAAATAGTAATGCCAAACAGTTGGATAGTAGTTTAATCATTCTTAGAATTAAGGAAATCATTCTAACTTTCATAAACATATTATTATGGACAGATAGATATCACATAGTAAATATGGTTTTCACTTTGTTTCTTGGAAATATTGATTAGTAACAGCATTAGTAATTGCATTATCATTGGTAGACTCAAGATAAGTATTCCTCAGCTGACCTGTAGGCTACTTGCAAAGTAAGGGTAAAAATAGTACTGACATGGAGAACAATACAGTTATTCAGTGCCTACTGTGTGCAGAGGAACTGCAGTATTAACTATGAAGAGTAAAGTGAGATTTGTCACCAAGTAAGCAGTTAAGTTGAACATTATAACAGTTAACTGTAAAGGCAGATAATTTGCCTGTGATGATCAGAACTTGGCTGGTGAAATCTTTTTTTGACTTTTAAAAATATATATATGTTATCCTTATTTTTATTTGGCATTTACAATTTTAGATTGGGGCAAAACTCTGAGATTTCTTGATATTTTTTAGGAGTTTCTTTGAGCTGCTGCTGTTCTTTGGAAAAGATGAATTTTATGAAGAGCCATTAAAGGATATTCTAGGTTCAATCCAGGTAACGAAATTTCCTATGTTAAATTTTCCATGTAAAATACACTTAATTACTAAAACATACATACATACATTGCCTGTTATTACCTTGTTTAATGATGTTAAAATAATTTTCAAAAGACTCACACAATCTTATTACAATAGTAGAGAAAAAAATATGCAGTCTTTTATTATTCTATGGAAAACCCAGTTATTTTGCTAATAGTAAATGTATGGACCTGTTGATATTTTTGTCATTTCTAAAAGCTTTACTTGGAAAAAGACCAGAGATTTGCTTGTGGAAGTGGGTGTTGGAAGGGTTGCAACTTTTGAGTTACTATGAAGTGGTGCAGTTTTCTGCATTCTTGCAGAATGAAATTGAGCATAAGCAAATGAAAGTCACTTTATGCTTAAATTGTTCCCCAGTATATTAATCACATTGGAACAAATTCATGTTTTCAAAACAAGCATTATAGCAGAAAGGACTGTACTGTACTTAACAAAGGAAATATATACATATACTCATAAGTATTTGGGAGGTAGTAATATTAGATTGATTAGAACCACAAAGTGCTGAGAAAGAAAGACACTGTTCTCAAAGACTGTATCTTGCTCCATCCTGGAAGAAATGTACTGAGGAAAGGAGAGTAGCAGTAGCATAAATGATGTAGTCACCTCCTGTTTATTTCTAGTAGTTTTTATTCAAACCAACAAGCCCATGTGTTTCCGCCAAGATTTCTCTTGCTTTATAAGTCCTAAATAGCACTGGCCCCTATACAGCACTATAAGATATACCCCCTTTGTACACTGTACGATCATATCATATATTTTATTTTACCAGCCTACATGTAGGTAAGTAGCAATTTTAATAATTCCGTAAGCTCACTAAAATGGGATTTAAATTATGGGAACAAGATAATAGTAGTTTTAATGGTTCAAAGTATGGATAACTTCACTGCCATTGTTCTTTAGATAGATGTTAATCACTGTGCTGTAAGTCTGTGCTATTTCACTTTTTAAAAAATAGCTATGATCATCATCATTAACAGCATTGAGTCAAAATGAAAATATTTTGGAAAAATGTGACAATTATACACACAAAAAGTACTGGCATTAGACTCGGGAAGAGAAAAATTAGAGGAACTTATTGAAGGCATAGAATAATGTGAAAACATCTTGTTGGACCCATATGTATTAGTCCAAATTATATATTTATATATTTTTATTCTTATTTAAGGTGTTTAAGAAATCTCTGAGACTTTTGGAAGTAATTATAGTAGTTTTTTAGTAAAATCATTTGTTAACTTTATGCTATATTTTAATTATGTATTTCTTTTTACATTATCTTTGGATGTTTAAGCTTAACATAAAAATGACTTTGTTGTGAAGAAAAATAGGTAATTTACTTTCTGGCTTTGACACAGATAATCTCTGGTCACAAATATGTATTAGGTATTTTCAAAAATGAGCACAGTATTTAAATTTATTGCTCCATATTCTTTTGGCTAATTAGTAGAGTTATCTAAACCTGTAGTTGTCTAACCTTTTGAGAGATGTGCCTTTTAGAAAAGTTAAGGGGAAAACTGTGAGTTTTGAGTGTCTTAAATTGATGGTGCAAATTAATCTCCAAATTGATGGTGCAAATTAATCTCCAGCCACCAAACATGGAAGGCAAATTCCTGCTAGTAAATGTACTTTCATTTCCACCTTGTTTAGGCCTAATTAACCTTAAACTCCTCAGAGATAAGGATAATATGATAGTTGCCTCACTAACCCCTGAGAGCTAAGAAATTTTATGCCCAGGCACTGAGAGCCAGGGCTAGGTATATAGGTATTATAGTGGCTTAAAGTCCCACCTTTATTTCTTGTGTGTTTCTTGGGCCAAAAACTCAACTGTCATATCATGGATAAACTGTTTTATATGCCCAGAGTAGCTTTGGTCTTACCACAATGTTTAAACAAGATAAAATTCAGAACAAAGATACAGTTTTAGACATGAACATTGTGGAAATTTAATTTGCTGGACTATTCATATTTATGGTTGTCAAGTGAAATTCAACAAAGGTACACTGAAGCACGTTCTTTCTGAACACGGTGACAGTTTGTTAACAGTGTGTGAACCTATTAATGAAGTGATCAGTAGCTTGCCTTGATTTATTCCAAAGACCCCTAGCAGAAGGACAACTCTTCTTTAATAGGTTTTTAGGGAGTGCAAAACAAAGAACAGAACAGGGTGGGTGACATCATGGGGTTGATGATAAAATGGTTACATAGCTGAGAAATGGGGAACAATATGAATAGTTGGAAATTGGGAATACGTCTAGCAGTGACCTCATCCTTCCCTCCTGAAACTGAGAAGTATTCATTGCTTGAGACCACCTGCAAAGTCAGACTTCTTTGGATAGCAGACCAAACATCCTTGAAGGATAGCTTGGTGATATGAAGATACAAGACTGAACTCTGATATTCAGCCACATTCCCAGGGATAGCAGAATTATCTTTGAGGCGAGACTAGAACAGTGATAGCAAGAGGACTAGTTTCTAAACTTAATGCATTACAGGCTAGTTGAATTCTGAACTAAGTTCAGAGACAGAGAACCTTTAAGCAGTTTATAGGATAAAATCAATTACACAATAAAAGCAAAATTAATATTTGCTTTTCTCATGATGGTTTTCTTGTTACAAAAAATGTTTTTTAAAAGAAAAATAAATAAATTGAATGGAATAACTGAAAACGAAAGGTATTTGGAGAGTGAGGAAAGAGATATCACCTTTTATGTGGAATTTGATCTGAGAAAGTTTATTAATTTAAAAATATATAATATACGTATGAAATTGAGCACATGGAATCATTTGGTGCCATTTTGAATATAAATATTCACCTAATAAAGAAAATTATATTAAAATTTCCAACAGTATTTTTTTCTTTATTTCATTTATCATATAACTATGCTTCAACTTTTAAAACAATACTTTTAAATTGAGCAAACTAAACTAATTTCTGTCTTGTAGGAATGTCAAAACCACCTCAGCAGATATAGAAATGTGAATCTGGAACTGGTAACTCGAATTATTAGAGATGGTGGGCCATGGGAAGATCCAGTGTTGCAAGCAGTTCTTAAGGCCAAGCCAACATCTCAGGATATAGGTATTTAAAGCATATATAAAGTAAAATTGAAAACATCATGTTACCATTTGCTTATTTATACTACTAAATAATTGAGTGGAGATGCTTTCATTAATTAAAGAAAGTAAGATGGGCAATATAGACACAATAGTGCTTCTGCAACTGTTAAAACTGTGTTTCCACTTTGAGTAGTTCCTAAGTATATGTTAAATATATGACCAAAGTGACAAAAATAACCAATGACACAATAATATATTAAACATGTGACTTAAAAACAAATATCAACTCTTAATATTAAGATTGAAAATATAATGTTAATGTAAACTTCTAAGATTACAAAGATCTTTAGCATCTCACACCCTATATCAAGATAAGGTCTAAATGAGTACGTGATTTATACATAAAGGTTGATATCATAAGCAAATTAAGGAACCATGGAAAATTTTGCTTGTCAGCTATGGATAGGGAAGAATTTATGACCAAATATGAGATCACTGAAAATGTATGATTTTGATTCCATTAAATTAAAAAGGGGTTTTGCACAAACAAAACCAGTGCAGCCAGGATTAGAAGGAAAGCAAGAAACTGGGGGGGGACCTTTTTTTTTAATAAATTTCTCTGCTAAAATATATAAATACATAAAATATAAAAATACATAGGGAACTGAGTCACATTTATGAAAACTAAGAGCCATTCCCCAGTTGATAAATGGCTAAAGGATATGAACAGGCAGTTTTCAAAAGAAGAAATTAGAGTTATCAATAGTCATATGAAAAATGCTCGAAGTCACTATCATGGAAAGGCAAATTAAAACAACTCTGAGGTACTAGCTCACATCTATCAGTTTGACTAACGTGATAGAAAATGAAAATGACATGTTGAAGGGGAATGTGGAAAATTTGGGACACTCATGCACTGTTGGAGTTGTAAAGTGGCCCAACCATTCTGGAGGACAATTTAAGACTGCTGAAAGGGCTATAAAATTACATACCCTTTGATCCAGCAATACCACAAAGAAAAATAAAAAGGATCTATATGCACCAAAAAAAAAAATCTTTATAGCAGCTCTTTTTTGTGATGGCAGAGAATTGGAAATTGAGGGGATGCCCATTAATTGGGGAATTGATAAACAAGTCTTGGCATATGATTGTGATGGAACACTATTGTGCTAAGCAATGACAAGCAGGATCTTTTCAGAAAAGCCCGGGAGAAGGCTTATGTGAACTGATGCAAAGTGAAGTGAACAGAACCAGGAGAACATTGTACACAATAACAGCAATATTGCAATGATGATCAATTGTGAAATACTTAGCTACTCTGATCAATGAAATGAACCAAGAAAATTCCCAAAAGACTTGTGATGAAAAATGCTATCTACCTCCAGAGAAAACTGTTGAATTTTTAAGTACAAATTGAAGTATAGTTTTTTCACTTTCTTAATTTTTCATACCTTTTTTTCTTTATAACATGGCCAGTATGGAAATATGTTTTGCATGATTCCACATGTATAATTGATATCATTTTTTGCCTTCTCAATGAGTAGGGGAGGAACTGGAGAGAGGGAAAGAACTTGAAACTCAAAAAAAATTTTTTTTAATGAATGTTAAAAATAAATAACAAGAAAAAAATTTTGAAGCCAAGGTCTTTAGTCTAGTGGTGTAACAAGCTCTTAGTTCTGTAGCAAATTTTAAGTATTGAATCAACTGTCCCAGCCAGATGACTGCAGAAGCTCTCTTCCAACTGCCACTTCTTGGGGTTTTCCTTCCCCTTCTTGCTGAACTTTTCTCCTTCATCCAGGGACCAGTGTAGCCAGGATTGGGGTCATAAGAAAAAAGGAAGAATTAGCAATTTTGGCTGATCACTGCTATCTGTACTTCTCTGGTCCTAATGCTCTAGCTTTTATGATAAAAATGCACAGGAGAATTATTCGATTTTCTGAAATGTGTATGAATTCTTCTCCCAACCCCACTATTTATCACCTGTGTGGATCTTTTTTCTTTTCCATAAGATTAGAATGAAAAAGTGAGGAAAAATGGGAGAGAGAGAAAGAGAGCGAGAGAGAGACAGGTGATGGATGGTAGAGGAAGCCTTTCTCTTATTTTTAGCAATAAAATATCTCAGAAGTCATCAAAAGGCATTTGCTTTATAGAAGAGGGTAGGAGAAAAGCTATTTTTTTTTCCATAGGGGATTCGTGAAAGAAAAAAAAACTGGGAAGAAGAAATAAGGCATGCAGTATAATCCTGGTGCTCCTAACCCTCTCTCAGCTCCTCCCCCCGCCAAAAAAAAGTCCTTGAGACACCAGACAGAATTGAGACATGACTAGCAAGAGGAATCTGGTTACCCTCTGATCCCCCTTTTTCTAGCCTCCTCTTCTTCATCAGCCTAGTTTGCTGAATATTGCATCTCAAAGTATGGTAAACAGCACCTGCTAGAGGTGTCCTCAGCCCCACTACTAGAGGTACAGGAAGCATGGGTTACTAACATTTCAAATCAGAACTCTGAATGCACAGTAATTTATCTCTGATGCTGTGTAATACTGTTTACATGTAGTAGTTAGGTTTCATGGTACATATACCATTATGCTAAGGTAGTTTATGTTGAATTGGTCTTTGTAGGTTGTCTGGAAACTGAACTACCATGTATATATTTACGCTTATTGTAAGAAAGGTCATTCTAGTTGAAAGTAATAACGTGGTAACGTGAGTATATGTAATAGATGTGTGACCATATATATGGTCATTCTAATTCCATACAAATAACTTAAGACCATAACTCATTAGTTAGTTGGAGACTACTTATATTTGAAGGCAGTTTAGAATTGGGGATAATTTGTGTAGAGGCAAAGAATTAATAGTATTCACAAGAAGAATATATTATCAGCTTTTATTTATGTTAGAAATAAATCATAATTCTTGTCTTTAAACTAGGGTGGATTTCCAAAGTACCTTTATTTGGCATATATACGCATACATACATACACATCCACACACATTACTTTTTTTTGTTTTGTTTTTTGTTTTTTTTTAGGCAATTGGGGTTGAGTGACTTGCCCAGGATCACACAGCTAGTAAGTGTCAAGTGTTTGGTCTGAGGCCGGATTTGAACTCAGGTCCTTCTGATTTCGGGGCCGATGCTCTATCCAACATTATTACTTTCAGCAGAATTTTTAACAGAGGCAATGTAGACTAGTGGATAGAAGACTGGCTCTGGACTCTTAAAGTCAGAATGACCTAGAACTTCTGGACAACCTGTCTTTAGATTTAGCCTTCCACAGTTACTGACTGGTGTCAAACTAGGCAAGTCACTTAACCTCTCAGTCCCCCAGTCATTTTTCTAAGCATTTTTAACTTGAAGAACAGTTGTTGCTCAAGCGAATTTCTTCATCCAGCGCTCCGTACAAAGATGAAATCATAGGTGCAAACCAAAACAACAATCAAAACCTGAGTCTAAATTACCAAACCAGTTACACTTGTCACTAATTTAGACTTGCTTTCCCACAACCAGTTTAAATTAGGAGCTTTTTAATATAGCTTAAAATAGCAAAACCTAAATTAAAATACTAAGTACTTTTTTAGACTCACAAGAAAGATGATAGTTTGGGTGCCTGACATGTCCCCCCCCTTTTTTTTAAAGTTTGATGATACTTTTTTCTTTTTATATCACTGTCACTTCCCAGTGATTAACCTACAGGCACAAGAGCATATGTGCATGCACGCACACACACATACACACACACACTCATAATCACAAAAATTGGCCAAGTCCGAAATTATATACTTCATTCCACATCTGTATTCTGCCACGTTGGCAGAGGTGTGATTCACAATTAGTCCTCTGGAAGTCATAATTGATCACTGCGTTTATCAGAGTTTTGAAGTCTTTATATTATTATCATTTTCACCCCTTTTCCAGTCATAAAATTAAATTTTGTTAAAGCAAAGCATAATGGATTATATATTATTTTGTAAGCTGGAATGTTAAAGTAGTAAAATTTTAGGGGACACTGAATTGCTAAATTCTATTTCTTAAATAACTTTTTTTTTTCTCTTTTCTAATATAGTTAACAAATATTTGAGCTCTGAAAACCCACTGTTCTTTGAACTGCGTGCCAGATACCTTATTGCTTGTGAACGTATACCAGAGGCAATGGCTCTTATCAAATGTTGCATAAATCACCCAGATATCAGTAAAGACTTGTACTTCCATCAAGCATTCTTCACATGTCTATATATGTCACCATTAGAAGATCAACTATTTCAGGAGGTACTGAGAATAAATCTAGTGAAATAAGTAATGATATAGTGGGTGTGTATGTGCATATTCTTTTTTAGATTAATTCTCAAAGCTCTAAGAAAGCCACTAACCAAGTTTTTTTTTTTTCTTTTCTGGTAACTTATTTCATCCCATTTTTATGTTGAATTACAAATAATGTAACAAAGCAGATAATGAAACTAGCAGAATAGACACCAAGAAAATTTGCTTTGGATATGATAGAAAGAAAAGAGGTTAACTAATTTAAAGAAGTCAAATAAGAATTGTGGAAACTTAATAATTGCCTTTTAAACCAATTCTTAAGATACTGAATGTTTAAATTAACTATTCTGGCCTTTAATTTAGTGAATGAATCTGTTCCCTAGACAACTTTTACCAATTCAGACATAGACCTTCATGGAAGAAAACTAAGCATCAGTTACTTCTACTGTAGAATAATATAATTTAATTTCAACTGTACAAGTATTTGTATGTTTATATGTATTTCTGTGAACCAGTCTTATTTTAAACTTATAGCATGTATTGAGAACTGATTGTAAGAATGGAATTGATATCATCTGTAACACCGAAAAAGAAGGCAAGACCACATTAGCCTTGCAGCTCTGTGAATCATTCCTAATTCCACAGCTCCAGAATGGGGACATGTATTGTATTTGGTAAGTGTTTCTAATAAGAAACTCTCCCAGTATGAAGGGGAGAATTATTGAGTAGCAGAGTTTGGGATGTATGTTTGCAAAATAAAAGTGGCATTAAGAGTATTAGTTTTTCTCCTATGAATAGCAAAGTATTTTTGTACTGACTAACAAATGAAAATTAACCATTTAAGCAAATCTTCTAATATACTTACTGTTTATTATGTAGTTCAGAGAATTAGAGGTAAGGGAATCAAAGACTTTCTCCTTTGAATATAGATTTTTGTTTGAAATAGTATGATTTATGGAACCAATTTTTCATTACATAATTATGGTAGAAGTGAAATTGTAACTTATTGGAGATTGAGAATAGGGAAGTTTTTTCAAAAAATAATTTACAAGAAATGTTTAAGAAAAAGCAATAGTTCATTTCAGTGCAAGAGACATCTGTTAAGTACCTACCCAAAATAAGGACCTATCCTAGGCATTGGGGGTTTAAAGACAAAATGTAGAATAGTCTGTACTTCAAGAAGTTTCCCTTCAGACTAAATTTGCGATTTGTAATGTGCCATAAGGCTTTGTAAAGCTATCAGATAATTTCCTTTTTATTTCTTATTACTTTGATGGTCCATTTTAATTTGAAAAGAAATTTTTTTTTTGCCAAGCACAATAATTTTGTAAAGATCTTGAGGGTGAAAATTTTTTTTTTCCTGAATTAGCAGTGATTTCAAATTCCAAATTACACTTGTTCAAAAGCTTACTATAAAAATATAATTATTTCTAGTATTGTGTGAAGAAAAAAATTTAAAGCAATTTTTACTGTATGTGTGTGTGTGTACGTAGCTTTTCTAGAGATAGAGGAATCATTAGGTAGCTGTTAAAATAAATAAAAGTCATATACTGTTAAGAGTTTTTAGAAAACTTTTAATTATCCCAAGTCTCCTTGGTTACGAGACCTGCTGGAGAGAGAGAGCGTATTCCCTGCTTCCCAGCTGTATTAAGGCCAGCTCCAAGGGCAACTCCAATTTTTCCTCTTTTGTTCTGAGTATTAGTATTGACAGTATTAGAATTTAGGTAAATCCAAAAGAATTTCCCTTCCCTTCTGTGTTGACCAGCCAAATTCTAATCTCTGCACTTCGGGGCATTGAATAAAAGTTTGGCACCCTCTGAGTCTAGAGATCTACTTAGCTTCTAGACCATTAATCTTTATCCTAAATTTTTTTATCTTCTTTTTCTACCACATTTTATTCAAGTGGTCAGCCTTTTGCTTTCTTCTCTTTCTTTCTTGTTTCCTTCCCTTTCTGTTCCTTTCTGAATAACCTCAGGGGCCTTCCCCACATCTTGCAGTGTTCCCCTTGGACTCCTAGTTTCTTTCCTTTTCTCTCAGTGTTCTTTCTGTATGGACCAACTTCCCCTTTATCCTCATCCTATACAGTCAGAATGGTATAAATGGATGGGGGATGCATCAGTATGTGCAGACCTTAGAGCAGTGGTAATTAAGAACTTATTAATTTAACAGAATTATCAACTGTTATCAAGATCCTTTTCAATTAACTATCAATATGTAGACACAAAGGAGTATATATCTTCTGTACTTGGAATCTTCTTGTGTTAATATGGTGAACAAGATGGGAACAGCAGAAGGATATAGCAAGCAGGCGTTTTTTTCTGTGAGGTCCCTCAGCTCAGCTAAGGATACTAGAGTCATAAATACAAGTAGCTAGGCCCTCACCCAAAGCCAAGCCTATACTACCAAGCAGTCTAGAGAAGGAACCTTGTCTTTAAATGGTTTCTGTTGATTTGCACATAACCTGGTTCTATCTGATGCCAACTCTGTAGTGGTGCTGAGCCTTTCCTGTTTCCATATTCTAGGAAGAGGTCAGGTTAGATGCATATCCATTTCCCTGGGATCAAAGACAGACACATATACACTGCCATTACTGCTTTCCTTTTTTTTTTTTTAGTGGTGAGGCAGTTGGGGTTAAGTGATTTGCCCAGAGCCACACAGTTAGTGAGTGTTATGTGTTTGAGACTGGATTTGAACTCAGGTCCTCCTGACTCCAGGGCCAGTGCTCTATCCACTGTGCCACCTAGCTGCCCCCATTATTGCTTTTCTTAATACCAGAGTCAGAAGTTTATTAGGGCCCTGTGATAGAGCATATAGTTATCTCTTCTCTCCATTCCCAGATCTTCTTTAAATGAGTCATCCCCTAGAGAATTCTTGCCTTGCAACTAGAAGCTTACCTTGAAGCTCAAACCAAACCCCTTTAATCTGACAAAGTTATAATAATGGAATAAATTAGAAGTATTTCCCTGGAATCATTACAGATCCTGGCTGAACTCTTGTAACTCTTCTTGGCTTTTAATCACCCTGCCTTAGTCTCTCAGGTGTTCTGAATCTACTGTTCTTTTACACTTGCTATTTGGCATAAATTGTTCCCATTTAACCATATTCTTTACATTTTACATCTATCCCCATGACAGAAGAGTCTCATGATTAACTACTACAAAGCTACTAGTAATAACTACTAACTCTTCCAACCTCAATATTCTAATTTCAAAATATAGACTCCTATCCAGAAACACTTATCAGGCTGGCTTTAATGCAGTAAAAGTCTTCATTGGTCATGTATGTAATTATATCAGAGGGATTTTACCTATAGATCACTGACTATTACAGGAAGATTTTTTTTAGAAGAATCTCAGAAGACATTAGCTATTTCTCTCCCTATTATGCAAACCACCTGGGATGGTATGAGTTTAGTATCTATAAGTGTGGTGATTGCCAGATACCATGGCTAATTTTATTTTGGTGTGATCTCATAGGAGATCAAACGAGCTTCCTGTATTTGATGAAAAATACTTGTTTTCTGGGATCATAATTATATTTGATGAGGAAAGGTAGTTAAGTCTCACAACAGAGGATGCCTTTAACCACCTTTCAGAATAAGCCTCACAATCTTTTCAATCAAGTCAGTAGAATATATTTATATATAGCATGTCCCAAAAGTCTTAGTGCATTTGAGAGGTGAGGAGGATAGTGGAGATAGTGGAAGAGTGGTGGTGGGGACTAAGGCCTATCTCATAGAAATAGAACTACCTAAAAATAAAGACCAAGGACTTTGCAGTCAGTCCAGTGAAACCTCCTTCGCCAAAGATAGGAAAAATCCTTATCTATACATTGAGAGTAGAGGTGAGGTATCTAACTTTGAATCAGTGGTGTTCCATAGCCACTACTCATAATCAGAGATGGCATATCAGACTTCCTGATCTTTTTTCTTGTAGGCAGTCAGGATCCACAGCCCCTGTGTCCTCATTGTGTTGTTGTTTAATCGTTTTTCAGTCATGTCCGACTCTTTGTGGCCCCATTTGGGGTTTTCTTGGCAAAGTTACTGGAGTGGTTTGCCATTTCCTTCTCCACCTCATTTTATAGATGAGGAAACTGGAGCAAACAGGGTTAAGTGACTTGTCGGGGGTCACGTAGCTAGTAAGTGTCTGTGGCTACATTTGAACTGAAGAAGATGAGTCTTCCTGACTTCATGACTGGCCTGATGCTCTATCCATTGTACCACCTGGCTACCCAATTACCTGATATCCTCATTGTATTTTTCCTGAATTCCCTCAACCCCTGCTTTACTCTACCCTGTCAAAAAAATACTTAAAGCTGACACTCATCATCTACTATTCTTCTTCCTTGGAGAACTAGAGAAACTTTTCCATAATCCAAGGTAGATTCATACTTTGTTCTTCAGTCTTCTTCAATCCTAAATCCTTAGACAAATCATTACCCTTCTGAGCCTTAGTTCCTGGATCTCATAACATCTATCTTCATATGTTTATGAAACTCTTTAAAATTATATCCCTGAACAAAATATCCCCACTTACTTGAATTGGTTGAATTGGTTTTGTGTTCTAGACCTCGCAAATACAAACCTCCATAATCTAATCTTTCTTGAAATCATTGAGTTTGTTTTATATTTCAGTGACATCCAGAGACATCTCTTCAAGACTTTTTTCTGATAAGAGACAAGAGTATGCCCTGGTGGCTTGACCAGTAGAAACTTTGCCTTTTCTTATCATCCAACTCTCTGGTAGATTTCTTGACCATCTGCCCTGCCACTGAATTCCCACTTTATATCTCCCTTGTTATGGAAATAGTAATCATTAAAGTACCACTTTGTTCCTGGAAAAGCTATGTGAATTGACTCCTTTATGGCTTCCCTCCCTACCCTTGTGATTTCCTAAGCCAAAATACCCTTCTTTTGGCTACCACTCCCTTTTTATGTGTTGTCCCTCTCACTGCCACCTAAGATGTAAATTTCATGAGAGCAGTACTTGTCTTGCCTTTGTATTTGTATTCCTAGATCTTAGTATAGTGCTCAGTACATAGTAAACACTTGCAGCTTTTCTTTCACTTCATTAATTCATTTTTAATAAGTAGTTGATGAAACGGTAGATCAAGGGAAAAAGTTTCATGCTCCCTATCATCCTGAATTCAGGAGGCTTAAACTTTAAATTTTAAAAATCTGTATTATTCCTCCCAAATAGTACATATATTGGAACTTATTTTAATTTAAAGGTAAGAAAAACTTTTCTTCAAGATTCCAAAGTCTTTAGTTTCATTTAGCCAATGACATTGCTAACTTAGATTTCAGTACTACATGACTTACTCCTTCTTGACCTCTGTAATTCTTACTAATGCTCTTCTCCTGGCCAGACCCCATATGAGTTACTCACAGTCACATACTCTTGAACTCAACAACTCATTTGCTATTGGGGAAATCTTTGAAAGATCATGGAAGACAGAAGAAGTACTACAAGACTGAAAAAGGGCAAATGTTCCTATATTTTTTTCAAGAGAACAAAAGAAGATCATAAATTCGCAGCTGGAAGGAATTTATTTATAGGCCATCCGTTTCGGCTCTTTTTTTTTTTCTTTACAAATAAGAAAACTGTGGCTCAGGGTATTTAAGTGGCTTGCCTATGGTCATAAAGTAAGTGTCAGAAGGAGTGTTTGAAACCAT